TACATACACATACACATACACATACACATCTACATACACACACACACACACACACACACACATATATATATATATATATATATATATATATAATATTTTGGGTCAAAGTTTAGTGTACTACATGTGGGGAATATTGAATTGAATGATAGTGACTGACAGAAAATAACTGTATGAACTGTTGTCAGATTTCCCATCCTAGCCCAGCACTTTAACCACTACACTCTGAACCTTCAGCATAACTTTCTAATTATTATTATTTCCAAAACAATTGCTTTAACCTCAGTACTGGTTTTCTGAAAATAAAATAAAATTCTGACCAGTATTACTGATGGCCAGCAAAATAAAATGGGAATGTGAGATCATTTCTAGGTTCATCTATAGCATTTTGAATGGCATCTGATGGGTCAGTGTGGAAAAAAATTCTACAGCTAATTTGCTGTGGCTGTTCCAATGTGATGAATAAAATCTGAGCATAGCTGTTTGAAGACTAGATTTAATCATAAATATTCCTTCCACCAAATGTGAAATTCGAAGCATGCATTCAAATATGTATCTTGAAAATGAGATTTATGCTAATTTTTAGAGAGCTGCTAAAACATTTGTCAGAAACTAGAAATGTATTACAGTTCAAACAAATTAGAAAATGTTTTTTGTAGAAATATGGAAATCCTTTTTTTAAAGTTCTCATCATTTCTTTGCAAAACAAATGCAAAGACGTGACATTTTCATGAGATGTTTGTGGTGTTCAGTATTCACTAATAATTAGTGCTGTGTAATATTTTGGATTTGAAGACTTAAAAGTGCTTTGGATCACATGAAAACATAAACATTATCCATGTCCTCTACTTCTTAAGGCAGCCATGTCACTTCCCAGGACCATACAATTGGTTTACGGAGTCTGGAGACTCGTCACACTTCAAATCCCTTTCTGACTAATCTTGAATTATGTCACAACCATAGTAGTGATATATCCTTTATATGTCATTTAATGAGTGTAAAACATGGCAACTCTTCTTTTTTAAAGGAAATCTACATTTTTCAATGTATTAACCAAGAGCCAAGCTGCAGCAGAAAACTTTCCCTTCTGCACTATTGATCCAAATGAGAGCCGAGTGCCTGTGCCAGATGATCGATATGAATTTCTTTGCCAGTACCATAAGCCTCCAAGGTAAATATGAGAAGTGTCATCAGATGTTTGTTTCTGGTTAAAAACCAACATTTCTCAGTACCTCTATTTAATAGGTTTGAATTCTGCAACTTTATTTCAGGAACATTCAAGGTTTTATAATAGGGTTAAATATGGATTATTTTTAAGAGTAATGCATTTGAGAAGCTTTTATACCCACGTATGCATAGATATAAATGTGTGTGTATGAATAAATGACTCATTGATACAGTTAATGAAAAATGTTCTGTTAATAAGAAGGCAAGTTTTGAAACTAGTTTTATCTTTTGAGGGCCTAAGTTACTACACAGTAAGTTGTTGTTGTTGTTTTTTGTTTCAGTTGATAAGTGCTAATTTTCCTATGCTTTACTATTCTTTATTGAAACTATAAGCAAATAGGTGCATTTTAAAAGCATTTACTTGTGTAAAGGGTTTGTTTTTAATTAACATGGTTTAAAAAGTAAGGACAGTTAACAAGGAACTGAGAGCAGGACAACCAACTTGAATAGCTTCAACTACTGTAAAGCCACATAAACATCTCATCTGTTTCTTCTCCACCTTATTCTGCTTTTATACTACACACACTCACACGCACACACACACACACACACACACAAAAATTTATATGCATCTCCTTTAGAGATAACTCTGGATGGCTTGTCAACATTGCATCACTGTAATTGGCGTGCATGAAATTATATGTGATACTGCACATTTTATTTTGAGTTTCCGTCTCCCCTCTAAATTATAACAACCTTATAATCATGGTTATGGAAAATACACGCTATAACCCAGTGATGACGAACCTTTTAGACACCGAGTGCCCAAACCACACGTGCATGCCCAAATGGAAAGGTACACAGGTGTGTGAAGATGCACACTTGTGTGTGAACATGCACGCATGCGTAAGCATGCACACATGCGCAGCAGAGACCCAAAGACCAGCTGGCTGGTGGGAGGCAGGGCATCCTAACATTGGCAGCACAGCAAGAGATAAGATCTTTTCCTTTCGTGAGCTTCTGTTTTCCTGCAAACGAGAAGAAACGCCATGGAGATCTGACCTGGGGCAACGGCGTATGTGCCAGCAGAGAGGGCTCTGTGTGCCACCTCTGGCACACGTGCCGTAGGTTTGCCATAACGGCTATAACCTAAAAGGTAATTTTTATAAAATGATGTACTTTCGGTATATGATTCCAGAAAAATTATCTAGAATGTATAATGATATTTGAACAACATGAAGGGTAATTTTATCTTGCCTGGTGAACTTGTAAAAAAGCCAGAAATTTCTGCGTTCAGATACACATAATGATACAAGAATTTTAAAAGATCAGCATTCAACTGGAACCAGGACTTCTCTTGCTGGCATTAATAAATAGCCAGTTATAAAAGAGCTATGGAATATTATTTTTTATATTATTACCGCAAGACTATTATGCGCACAAAAGTGGAAAGGCTCTGAAATGCCTACAATAGAGAAATGGTTGGTGAAGATGACAGAACTAGTGGAGACGGCAAAAATTAACATGTTTGATCAATAGCTACATAAATCACTGACTGGAAACCCCTTGTGGACTTTTTGCTGAAAAAAGAGAAAAATGAACTTGTAATTTATGGGTTTAGAAAGGATAGTTTATGGAAAGAGGAATTATTATGTAACCTTAGAGAGGGTAAAATAAAAATTCATTTACAACTGCAGTCAAAAAGATAGAAAGCCCTGCTGCAAAGTCCATGGATGCTTTTTGGCCAATTACCACTTTATATTATTCTATGTATCATTGTAGATAATTGCTAATTGATGATAACATGGCCATATATTGTTAATGACTCATATTTTGAATTTTTCCCTGTAGCAAAATTCCAGCCTTTCTGAATGTGGTGGATATTGCTGGACTTGTGAAAGGAGCCCATGCTGGACAGGGACTAGGAAATGCCTTTTTGTCGCATATTAGCGCCTGTGACGGAATATTTCATCTACTTCGTAAGCAATTTAAGGTTTTAATTACTATATTGTGTACAACATTATTATTTTTATCTATTACTAGATAAAACCCTTTGCAATGTATTATATAATACTTTAATAGATGCATGTTTTCAGACTGAAACTTGTTAAGAAGATCCCTATTCCCATTCATAGTTTATCTGAGGCAGTGTGCTTTATTCAAAATTACATTGATAAACTTCTCTCTATACGTTGGGAGACCTTTTCTCCCAACCTCACTCTATCACTCAATTTTGCTCCAGAATAGATTAGTTGAAGAGAAAGTTAAGAGTATTTCCATATGTGACAGATGAGCCCCATCCACCAGTTGTTTCCACACTGTTGGCAGACTACAGAATAACAGAATAACAGAGTTGGAAGAAACCTTCGAAGTCTTCTATTCCAACCCCCTGTGGAGAGCCTACCATGTTTCCCCGAAAATAAGACAGGGTCTAATTTTCTTTTGACCCCAGAAATAAGTGCTTGGCCTTATTTTCAGGGAGGTCTTATTATTTTTGAAGTGCAGGAGGCAGCATTGTCTCCTCATGGCTGCTACTGTGTTGTAATATTTTCGGGGAGGTCTTATTTTGGGGGAAGGCTTATTTTAGTGCATGTGCTCAAAAGCCTGATTGGGCTTATTATCCGGGGAGGTCTTATTTTCGGGGAAACAGGGTACTTCAGACTTAGTTTTGGCTGGTCTGGTTACAGAAAGCAAGCTTGAGGCAAAACATTAATTAGTAAGCAATTCAATCAGAATACAGCTGGAGGTCTTTAAGTCCAATCAGAAGACCTTGGAAGTCTTCTAGTCCAATCTCCTGCTCAAGCAGGAGGCCTTATACAATTTGAGACAAGTGGTTGTCTGGTCTCTTCTTAAAAACCTCCAGTGATGAAGCACCACAACGTCTGAAGGCAACCTGTCCCATTGGTTAATTGTCCTCACTGTTAGGAAGTTTCTCCTTAATTCCAGGTTGCTTCTCTCCTTGATTAGTTTCCATCCATTGTTTCTTGCTTTGCCTTCTGGTGCACTGGAAAATAAGTTGACCCCCTTCTCCTTTGTGGCAGCCATTTAATTTTCTTCAGGGCAGCTGAAGGGGCAATATTAGCATTTCTTCTTTAGGATTTATATAGCATTTATATTTGTGTATTTAATTTATTTTTTATTATATTTAAAAAGATAAAAAGGTTGAAGAAAAGCATGCAGAGTTCATTCTAATCAGAATAAAGTAGTTCTGGTTAGAGACAGTACTGGTTTCTCTAACCTGAGCCAAAGGTACATTTAGACTTTTATAGCTTTTCTTAATCTTTCAAGAGACTTTAACAATTATATGTATTGTCTCAAACAATAGTTCTCATACAATTTGGTCTCAGAGAACCTCTTTACTCTACAGGTAGTCCTTGACTTAAACATTTGTTTGGTGACCATTTGAAGTTACAGCGGCTTTGAAAAAAGTGACTTATAACCATTTTTCACACTTATAATTGTTGCAACACCTCTGAGGTCGCATGATCAAAATTAGGACGCTTGGCAGTTGGCATGTATTTATGACAGTTGTTGTGTTCCTGGGATCATGTGATCACCTTTCACGACCTTCTGACAAGCAAAGTCAACAAGGAAGCCAGATTCACTTAACAGCCATGTTACTAATTTGATAACTGCTGTGATTCACTTAAGAACTGTGGCAAGAAAGATTGTAAAATGGGACAGACTCACGTAACAACTTGCCTCACTTAGCAATGGAAATTTTGGGCTTAATTGTGATTGTAACTGGAGGACTATCTGCACATTACCAAAAACATTTGAAGACCCCAAAGGGCTTTGGTTTGTGTGAATTATTATATCAATTTATATTTACTGTGTTAGAAATGTAAGCTGGGTACTTCTAAAATATTTATTTGACTTTGCGGATCCCCTGGAAGGGTCAATGGGTGGGTTCTTAAAAATACCTTTATTATGGATTGGCTCCTCTTTTAAGGTATTTGTGTGCATTTTTTTTCCAGAAGGCATTTGATTAATCCAGAAAGACTTTTGATACAACTTTTAATTTAGCAGAATAGCATATAGAAAACTAGAACCAGCTGTCATTTTCTATCTTATTCAATAATTAATTGTATGATTTCTTTTTTACATTATTACAGTTAGAATGCATTTGAATGTTGAGCCTATTAGAGATCGTCCTCAACTTACAACCATAACAGAATCCACTGTTTCGGTTGTAAATTGTGATGGTGGTAAAGTGAGCCATCACATGACCAGGCCCAATTTTATGATGTTTTTTGTGGTGGTTCTTAAGCAAATGCCGCAGTTGTTACGTCGATTCATTGTTTGCTATTGGATGTTTTTTGTCATATGACCACAGAACACCAGAATCAGATGTAAATGTGTTCTAGCCCAAATTGTGGTCACGCCTGCAATGGAGGAGGGGGGAATGTCGGAACTTCAAATCCAGGTATTTCAAATAATCTATTTTTTGGCGTCTACCATAACTTTGAACAGTCACTAAGTGACCGATCATAAATTGAGGACTACCTCCACTGCTTTTGTAAAAACAACAAAGGCACACATACATTCAAAATACCTCATTTTTTGGGTCCGTGCAATATTAACAAATATGTAACAATTTTTTACGATTGTGGTCCCCTATCTTACTTAAACCCATTGAGACAATTTTAGTTTTAAAATCTTGCAATACCGTACACATTGCATTTTCAGAAGGCATTTAATAAGACTTGGATATTGCGGTTGCCACATCTCCCACCTGCCTCTTGGCAAGTCTTCTTTCCACGTGGCCTTCCTGTGATTTCAAAAAAAGTAGGAATCATCCCTGCTGATAGATATTGCTGGAAACTGCTTGCAGGAGGGAGAGAGATATGTGGCGATACTTGTGTATCGCTACACTTCATTGCACCAGCATCTGAGTGAACAAAGCCGGAGCCACCTCTCGTTCCCTCAGCATGTGCAGTTTTCCTTTGTGCAGCTGTACTTAGGCTTTGACACCTTTATTGCACTTGAACTCACTCCAGAAATTTGGAGTTTAGATGTCAACATTTGCTTGGAGATGAATTTAAGATGTACCAGCATGTAGGAGTTTCAAGCTGGCGGTGTGCTATAGAATCCAAGCTGGCATCTTATGGTCGTTCAGCTGGGTTCCTTCTTACCCTGGGATATGAAAAGGCCAGACACTTATTTTTTCAAAGGCTGGATGATGTGGAGTGTGGCAGCTGAGGCTTAGCAAGACATACAAATAATAGTAGAACCTGAATTTGAACACGATTTGGGTACTGCCAAATATTTCCTACCTCTCGCCCCAGGCTGAGGAATTACTTTATTTGGGCATGGCACGAATATTACTACCACTGAGTGGTACTCCTACCGGATTTGAGGAAGAAGAGAGTGCCGAGGGGTTAATTTGGGCATATCCTGAGGTAAAAGAGCAATTTGTACTTGGTTATTTGTGAAACAAGGATCCAGTTTGGAACTACTGCTGCTGAGACAGCTTTGTGGAAGGTAATGTCGTTATTTGAGATGAGGAAAACTTTTTAAGAACCATTGAATTAGGATAAGGTACCCCAAATATTTTACGCCGTGGCTCAGTGGCTAAGACGCTGAGCTTGTCGAGCAGAAAGGTTGGCAGTTCGGCGGTTCGAATCCCTAGCGCCGTGTAATGGAGTGAGCTCCCGTTACATGTCCCACTTCTACCAACCTAGCGGTTTGAAAGCATATAAAAATGCAAGTAGAAAAATAGGGACCATCTTTGGTGAGAAGAGCGTTCTGTGTGACTTTGGTGTTTAGTCATACTGGCCACATGACCACGGATACGTCTTCGGACAAAGCTGGCTCTTCGGCTTTGAAACGGAGATGAGCACCGCCCCTAGAGTCAGGAATGACTAGCACATATGTGCCAGGGGAACCTTTAGCTTTACCTTTAGCAACAAAGATGATTAGGGGACTGGAGACTAAAACATATGAAGAACGGTTGCAGGAACTGGGTATGTTTGGTTTAATAGACTAGGGGAGACATGATAGCAGTGTTCCAATATCTCAGGGGTTGCCACAAAGAAGAGGGAGTCAAACTATTTTCCAAGGCACCTGAGGGTAGAACAAGAAGCAATGGGTGGAAACTATCAAGGGGAGAAGTAACTTAGAACTGAGGAGAAATTTCCTGATAGTTAAAACACTTAATCAATGGAAGAGCTTGCCTCGAGAAGTTGTGAATGCCCCAACACTGGAAGTCGTTAAGAAGAT